GAGGAATTGAAGCTGAGATGAACTGAGATGTCCGGCTCCCAGGAGCGGCCATCGCTGCTTACCAGCAGCGCCAAGCTTGGCGTCCAGCTCCGATGGCAGGTTCGCAAGCGGGCTGGACAGTGCTGCTGGCAGCTCCTCGGCGGCACGCGCCCCGTTACCAGGAGCCCGAGCGGGCGCGCCGTTGGCTACCAGCAAAATGGCCTATTACCGGCAGCTGTTGGCGCAAAGTTGGGCACGCGCCCAGCTACCAGAAACCCCGGCATTGCACGTATGACCTTGGTCGAGGTTACCGGCGCTGCTCGGCCGGGGCTACCAGCAGGCGCTCCAAGCATCCGCGCCGAGGGCCCGGTCATCCCGGACCAGTGCCTAGCTACCAGCAACGGTTGCGGCCTGGTTACTAGCAGCCGTTGGCAAATGCAAAAATTGCTAATAAATCTCACTTCTAAATACAGTACAGCGTCGGCGATGCATTTGCATGTCATCCAATTTAGACACACCAATTTAGACACACTAATTTAGACACAGCTGTGTAAAGCACCGCCTTGCGGGATGCCAGTCGCCTTTTGTCAGGGCGGGGGCGAAATTCAATAGTGGCCATGTTACAGGAGTGGGCGATGCATTTGCAATGACAAGTCCATTATCAATCTACCAATTCAGACACAACCCTTACGTCTCCCACGGAAAAGCACACATTGCCTTCGGTGTCGTAGGTGCTGCTGGTTCACGCGCCTGCTTCGGTCAGCATGCGGCCACACGAGACGACGGACGGACGGACCTCCTCCTGGTCGCGCTTCTTCGCGGCAGCCAGCTCGGAAGCCAAGCGGCGGATCTCCTCCTGGAGGCCGTCGATGTACGCTGTGGACGCCAAGCGCAAGTCTTCGTACTCTTGCTGCCAGTACGTGATGACGCCGCGCAGGTTTTCGCACAGATAGTGGTAGTCCGGCCTATACAGCGGGTGCGGCTCGTCCCACCGGCGTAGGGACAGGCGCACGCCTGGGGACAGAGGCGCGCCCGGGAACGGAGGCACGCCCGTGGACAAATCTCGGACACGCGGGTCGTCCATGGCAGGATGAGATGAAAGGCTGCGAGAACGAGAAGGCGAAGATGCCGAAGCCAGCTGTGGACGCCGCCCGCTTGATGCCGCCGCTTGATGCCGCCTGCTTTATAGCCATGGCCAACCCGCCGCGGCCCCCGCACATCGCACGCCGCACGCCGCACGCTGGCCTGCACACCCTGCTCCGGCGATAGACAGTCACCGTCCAGGCCCGGGCGGCTACGCGATCGACCCACCAGGCATGCTGGGCCTGCCGCCGTGGCGTCCTTGCATGCGTGCATGCGTGCCTGCCTGCTCGACCGGCCGGCGCTCGTCCGGGTCATCGGCGATTGCGTGCTGGGCACGGAGATGGTAAGCGACGGTGAGGGGTGGAGGGTTCATGCGACGCTGCAATCGAGGACCGACCAACGTGCCAATACCAGGTCGACGCCGCCCCCACCTCGTCTGCACCTCATCTGCAGCCAAGACGATCTATTGTCCTAGTGTCACTTAGCGTGCCATGCCCTCGGGAATCGGACGGGCCAGGCACGAACAGGCACGAGAGCCGGGCACAACCAGGCAAAGCCAGGCACACAGGCAAAGCCAGGCACGATCAGGCGAAGCCGGGAATTACCAGGCACGAGCTTGCTGAGCCATCCTTCAGCTGACGATGGTACACGGCAACGTCATGACATGGAAAACAGGTCCGGAGGGGTATTGAAACTATCTGACACTAACGCACAGCGCATCACACCCACCCTCGCGCAACGCCAACAGCCAATTACTCCAGCGAGGTCATGGATAGAGGCGTCAGCACGCCACTGTCCAGTGCCTCCAGCGTGGACGGCGCCACCATCGTCCCTCCATCGACAGAATGTCCTATTGCCGCATAAGCTTCTTACACCTGACCTGCG